AAAACCTGCGGGGAACTCTGCAAAAAACGCATCTTCACACGGGCAGCCCGTGCGTTGGCCAATTATATGCGTTTTGTGCTATGTAATAGCAGTACAAAATGCATATTGTCACGGGGTTATCTGTTTGTGTTTGTGTGTGTATCCCACATTTTGTCCCGCACTTTCAACTTGGGAACCACAAAAGCTGGGCGGCTGAAGTTTTGATATAGTTTTCCTCGCCAGCAGGTGGCACGGAAAAATTTAAATTCAGCCTTCCCGTACCCGCAGATAACACGTACAACCCCGTAAAAGTTTTTCGAGTAGAATCAGTATCTTGGGAACTGTGAAAGCTAGGAAGCTAAAATTTTATGGTTATTTCCCCTGACCACGTGCGACCCAGAAAGCTCAAATTCAATCTTCCTGTACACGCGAGTAACACGTACGGCCCCGTGAAAATTTTTGACGGGTAAATCATTATCTCGGGAATCACGGGGTCCTGGAAGCTGAAATTTTAAGGTAATGACCCCCTGCCCACACTCAACCTTGCCCATCCAAATTCAGCGTTCCCGCGGTCTCGGGTATTACCTACGCACTAGTGAATGTTTTTGCGCGTAAATTATTATCTCAAGAACCACGGAGTCTAGGAAGCCGAAATTTTAGGGTGATGACCCCCTGCCCATGCTCAACCTTTCCTATTCAAATTCAGCGTTCCCTAGCTCTTGAATTTCACCTACGGCTTCGTGAAAATTTTGGCGGGTTAACTATTAATTCAGGAATCACGGAAAGATGTTCTCCCTTCAAGATTTCGAATTCAGCTTTCATGCGCAGGTGCGTGAAATTTTTAAGTATTTTCCAATGTTTGAACTATTTTTGCATAGACTGAACTACAAAGCAGTGAAAATCATTAATAGGTAATCGTTCGATGGGCTGGATTGCACAAAACACATGACCGCACCGGCTAGTCAGTGCGCTTTGCTATTTGTTTAAAAATACATATGTAGCTTCTGGAACTGGAGCAAGAATACTGCTACTGAAGCTGGCGTTTAAGTTTAGGATTAGTTGAAAGAGTGAAAGAGTAGTATAATTAAAATTACATCATTTCGAAAAGATCAGCTTTAATAGGCCTAAAAAATGGGAATCAGAAGGTCATAATGTAGCAGACAGAGCCAATGTTGACTGTTTGATCACATAATCATGGTTTTTCAAAGGACAATTGGTACGCGTTCGGCTTTTACACTGAGCCTCCCAACTGGCGAGAGCGGACAAAGAACCGATGGGCAGTATGAAGGAAGTGAGGAGTATGCGGAATATTCAACCGCCGACACTAGCAGAGAGTAAGTACCAGACCTGCATTTCCCCTTAGGAGAGATCTGGCCCAGCTGCAGATGCGCCAATCACCAAGATTAGAATCGCAGAGGGAGGGAAGGAAATGTAGAGGGAAAGTCGTGAGGTTACTTTTACGTTTGGATTCATAAGTTTGTCCATTCAACTCGTCAATGTGACTACGTAGTGCCCAGACTATCGATTCAGTACGAGGCACCCATGTGTCCGAAATAGCTTTACTAGGCCTTCCTTTTCTGAGTCACCTACTGTCGCAGCCGTTCGTCTTTAGCATCCAAGGAATCCAATCTTTCCCAAAATATTCCTCGTGGATGTTTTTTACCAAGATACTACCAGTGGATAAATTTTATGCAGGTTGAACGAAGTATGCGGGTTAAACAAAGTTTATGCGGGTTGAACAAAGCAGCTTATTTGACACAGCGATGATTTCTTTACTAGACCATGAAGAGCTATTATGAGTTTCTTCCTCTACATCGCTGCCTCGAATGGCCGGAATAAGTCTGGATATGCAAACCTTTTTAAGTGTGACCACCTGGTTATAACTAAGCGAGGAACAAGTTGCAATAAATCTAATTTGTGGGTGGAAAATAATACTTCATAAAAGTTTTAAATGAATTCAGGTCGTCGCTGGACACTGGCAGAACATCGGATACGTCCCAGGACTTCTCATCGTTTAAGAATCTCAGTCAGATCTCGGAGCATACCACGATGCGCCCGCGTGACGATGATGTGGCCTGGATGGACGCTGTGCGACAGTACCATCAGAATGAGCCTGTCTTCCGTAAAAAACCCTTCGTATGCATCAACATTCACAGAAACGAACACCGCTTCATCATGCACTTTACTGTTTTATTCCGAGTTCAGTAGCTAGGACTTTTCCGAATGAATTAATCTAAAAATCCAA